AGCTAAGCTAAGCAAGCTTAGCGAAATAGAGTTCCAAATAAATGTGCTAGATTTTGCCAATTTGAAAACTATTAACAATATTTCTAGTAAAGGTTTACCCGTCAAATCCAGATGGTTCTAGCTATTTTTGTACGCTATCATCTACCTACTCAAGCATCTTGCTATGCCATCCGCCTACACAAAATTTCTGGTTCAACTGGCAGAATTTTGTATGATAGCATTAACCGACCTCAGCTATGCGCTGACATTGTTTATTTTTATGAAACATTATCGTACAAATTCTCGTTAGAACTGCCTTGAAATCTATTAAGGACTCATTATACTTTGACCCATTAGCTGGTAAAACTATCTTTATTATCTAACCCTTTTATAGCTTTTTTATCATTCCTCCCATTAAAGTCAGATACAAAAATTTTCTAACTGTTTAGCTTTTTTATGATCTAAAGCCTTTGCAGTTATGACCCCTATGAAGTAACTGTTAGTACTAATTAAACATCTGTATGTTTGTCCGTTAAGTCACTATTAGAAACAAGTTTAACGTTTTATTTGCCATTTTCAATTGATGTAGTTAATATGCCTTTCTTCATAAGCGATAAATGATGATTAATAGTATACGTGAATGGAATGAAGTATTTCTATTACGCTTTGTCAAATACATTTTACAGATCAGTATGTTTAAGGCATAAAATATCACAATTATCAGCTAAAGTAAAAAAGAGAGTTCAAGGAAATGAATTATGGGCTCTTAACACAAAATTCTTACAAAACAGACGGAGAAATGGTATCTCAAAAGCAAAGAATTCTTAACATCGTGTAGACATACAACAACATCATCAATAAAAATGCTAATAACAATGCTTAAAGCAGTCAATGAGCATTTACCGATGCATCAATTACAATAACTGATGTTGATTAGCCCACTTACAGTGTACTTGGAACTGTTGAAATTGTTATGCGTTAGAAATTTCCGAGTCACTGTGATGATGAAGAGAATGGTAAATTACATGAAGATGTTCCAGAAGGAAATATAAAAGAGACAACAATAATAATTTTCTTCAAGGCGAGAGTGAATAGGCGCTTAAATATTAGGCAGAATGTACCATCCTAAACTGCATCTCACTGAACATCAGGTGTGATTGCGGTCAAATACCTGCCTTGTTCTGCATTAAAAAAGTTGACACTGGCCACCAAGAAAACTGCATCCTTTTTTTTTATCGACGAATAACGTTACTCTTTTGTTTTTTCTTTCGCTCTCGTCACTCAATTTTCCACGTACTTACTCGTACTAATTAAATTTTCATGACTTGAGTTTGTATTTTTTACCCCATAATATTGACTATTGGTAGGTACTTCGTTTCAACTAAAACCACGAAGCACATACTACTATTCAGAGAAAACGATGTTAAACCATATAATTACTTCTCGCAGGATACGATTCGCATAATAAAACTTTATTGAAAAGGGAAGCGTTTAGGAGCGATTATTAAGAACTCTACTTAAGACAACTAGCAGGTAGTGATTGTTGTTTGTTTGTAACAGCTGTTATTAAAGTCGTACCATAATGCTCGTTTGTTATTTAGTTTTTAACGTATTCACACATCCTACAATAAAAGTAGGATAAATCTTAGGGCTTGCTTCTATAGATAGAGACATCCCGTTGTTTAAAACTTAACTATTTTTTGCAGGATCCCATTTAGTTATACATTATACTTGTTTTAATTTTATAGTTCACACGAACATCCCGTGTGTCCCGCAAAAAACAGATCCGTTCGAATTTGTAATTCCAATTTCATTTCAATTCAGTTCAGTTTTGCGGGATTCTGCATTATCGTAAAACTGGATTACCGTGGGATGGGAACAAGCACACGTTGTTCCAAAATAGCACTTATCAGAACTACATAAGGTACCTTGATAAACCGTCTTCTGCCTGCACGTCTGCAGAAAGAATCTTAAACCATCATCTCAGCTTTGATTACTGATATCCCGGAAGCAGTAACCAGGATCTTACTTTTATTCATATCCAATTTAAAATTACCATTTCTCTTATCCATATCTTTTAAATCCTTTTGCAAGCAATTTACATAATCTGCTTAAAATGGTTACATTTAAAAATAAACCGAAAAATTTACACTCCATCAAGCTGAAAGTCTTGTAAGTTAAAAGGTAGTGGTAATGCATGGAGACTTACGCAAATGTTATGTAACAGACTACTCACTACCGGACGACGGATCTCCAGTGGGTCACCGGGGTCTTGTGGCCTCAATTGGTAAAATACCAACAAGCTATAATGCATTTGGTGCATTAGAAAGTGAATTTGATGGCCGGTTACCGGATGATTACGAAGATGTTGATATTATGTTATGTTGATTTGTATGACTTACGACAAAATGACTATTTAATATGGATGTAAAGCAGAGAAGAGGAAATAAGCTAATAGTGATGATAAATAAAGGATTGATTTACGCCTGTATTCACTAACGATGCTTGCGAAGCAGCAAATCGAACGCACAGCGTTGAATAGAGCTCTGTGATTGGTTCGCGTTTGACCCTGTGCGTCCACGCGTACTGTGAGACCTCAACAATGTTTGTGAATACGGGCGTAAGTGTTTAAAAGTAGGAAAGTAAAAACACAACTAAAATTATTCAAAAGTACGAGTATACGTAGCATGTAGGCGCTTACGTCCCAAATATAGCTTGCCCTCCCACGAATAAAAATGTATGTATTCGTTTGTTTAAATAACTTTCCTGTTCATCATACAATGCATTACATATTGATTTATCGTCTTATTTATGAAAATGTATTTATTCGTTTGTTTAAATAATTTTCCTGTTCGTTGCAAAATGGATAACATTCTGGATCTGAACCATTTATGCAGTTTATTCCTTTCTTCTTTTGCCTATAAGTTGTTCCAAACTTCCACTTCCATTTTATCTGAAGTTTCAACTGCAACATTATCGGAACCTCGAAAGTTGTTGCAAACGTAAACAAATTAACTGAACGTTAACATTTAACTGGGTCAAGGCGAGGAGATTAATGGAGAGTTTCCAGTATTTATGCGAGTGGACCACAATAGGCAGGACGTGGCTAACTGCTGTGTTTAGGGTTGGCATGAACACTGGATGAAACTAGATTTTTGTAGAGACACCAGTACAAAACAAGTTGCGAAATTGTAACACTGGATTAAATGGTATAGTTTTATCTGGTTGTACCTAGGTTTTATACAGTCACCAACGCAACACAACATAAATGTTTGTTGCACAATTGCAGCTATAAAAACTAGACAAGATGACACAGTTCTTAAAATTCTTGGTGCAACAAGATTTTTGTACAGTCGACAAATGCAACGCAACATTTTTTGTTGCAAAATTGCACCTCTTATAACATAGTAAGTCACAGTGCTTTCTGAATATTCTGCCATACATAATATTATTTTAATTGGATACTACTTAACTTCACTGTTAACTGAATTACTTTAGGTAGAAGAACAACTCTTTTATTTAACTAGATCAAGAGGTTTGTGAACTGTTTTAGAAACAGTTAATAATTTCTGAACCTATCATAAGGATTATAATTGAAGAACAATCGGTACTCATTTGGTATCTACTTTGTCGCTTTGTCTATTCACTTTACATTTTAGGTTTCAGCCCTAAATACAATTCAATGAACCTCTACTATTGACCGTGACTACGCTGGTCAGTTAAGTTTTAAGAATATTGCTTTAAATAAATGGTTTAACTTTAAAACTGGACATAGATTAATAATTTTCAACACAATATGAGTTTCAAGCATTACTTAATACTTCGTCAATAATGTGACCTTTACCGGTAATGCTCACATGGTATGAGTAATTGATTATTTACAAAGTATACAAGAAAAAGATTTAGCAATGTGAGCCGTTAATGCACTGCCAGATTAAAGGCTTGCCAACGTAACTTTGATTAACGATTATGCAGTCTCTACCAGAAAAGGACAGCTAGTTGCTATGCAATGTCACCCAATAAGCACAGCCCAAAGGGATCAGCAAATTCAGCAATGATCAGAATGTCAAAAGAACAGAAGATACTAAATTCTACTACTGCTCAAATGTCATCCAAAAGGGATCAATCAGCAATCATCATCTAAAAACAAAAGAAGACACGATGTTAACGACTCAAATTAGTTTCTAGATCAATGGGTCGTGATAGTTCATAATTGTTTAATGAATGAAACACTGAATGTACTACTATTATTAAACTATTTCAACAGTCGAGTTCAATGGACGTGTGAGACCTGTATTCACATACTGCCGTTCAAGTAATTGTCAATAATTATAGCTGCCGTGTCGCTTTTCGTGTAAGAAATTGTAAATAATTGTTTTGAAATCAAATTGCCTTTAAGCTTTATATTTCACGCGTCCAGCGTGAATACTGAAAAGACTGTTTGTTTTCTTTAAACTACGGTTCAAGTAAAAACTCACGCGCACAGAGATGAAACGACGTGTGGTTGTGCCAGTTTTTGCGATTTATCAGCCGCCTTGTTAACAACGAATACGAGTAATCTTGTCCGTTGACGTTTTTGTTTCTGAGAACCACAATTGTGTATCATTTGTTTCAATGCACATTATCCTTATATCAGATTCATCGATGAAACGTCTTCCCACGAATGTCTTGTTTCTTTCAGTGCTATTTTTAGATCTATTACAAGGCCTACAAAACTTTTTTGTTTACACGCCCTTTGTATCGTTTGTTAGGCGCACGAGTGGTTCGTTTAAAGATGTGGAATCACCAAACCGTTTAGGACATTACGGAACGTGAACCTTTATTAACCTAAATTGAACTCTATTGTTCATTGGCCTGTCATTACTATGTGAAGGCTGTTTTCCGACTCGGCAACAAACAAATCAACGGTAATTGGCCGGTCGCCTCGGGCATTTAAAGTGTTTAAAGAAACTCTGCTGATGGTCTCAATTAAATATTATTTGAGCACCTTAACCCTAACCTCGCTATTTCTTTTCTTTCAGACGAAAATGTAGATAGATCAGTTGCACGTACATTTGCTAAAGGTACGATGTCCATTGACCAGGCGTCTCCTCTGGTGCCCATCAAGCCTCAAGTGTCGCTGCAGAACAGTGCGTTCATCAAGAACAGCCACAACCGAAGCAGCTTCTGCGGAGTGAGTCCTTCCAGCGGGACCTTCAAGACATTCGCTATAAATAGGAAGAGTTGGAGCGGCAATGGCACGCTTCCGCTCCAACAGTTTACGCCCGAGGTGGAACAAACGCCGCATCTAGCGACGTTCCGCTCCGGGACTGGGACGTTCCCGAGGAACAGGGAACGGAACAATAACGCAACGAACGGAATATTAACGCCTAACGGGAACTCGGTCCAGAGCTTCAAAGGAAATGAGCTGAGAAGGAGCGGATGCTCTAACGGCCGACGCTACGCGGAGATCGGGTACTGGAATAAAAGGTGAGTGTCACTTCACGTCACTTTCGAGTTTGTTTCCTAATAGCCTTTGTTTGACGATTGCGTCATCAGGAGAGATTTACCGAGTGCACGTCACTTGTTTAGCGACCGGAAATTACACCCCAGATTTGCAATGTCGTGAATTTATCATAATTATTTGATTTACATCATTAAAATTCTACGCCTGACTAACGATTGTAAATAATAGTAATCAGATCCGTAGTTGTTAAGAAATCTTGATTATCGGATTACTTACTCTTAGCCTAGATTTTATTCATGTTTTTTTCACTTACTCAATTGGCGTGGAAAAACGTTCATGTTGAATTAATTCTGTTTGTGTGGGTCAAAACATGCCTCAGGTAGGGAAATAAAAGTTTTGCAAGAAACCAAGTAGTTCGTATCACTAACTTCCTAAGGCCTTTATTTACTTTCTTTTCCATCCCACTCAAGTAATTCTGTAACAAGTTTTCCAATTTCATTTTCGTGCTTTCATTTCCTCCCGTTCGGCGCTCGCTCCCTTAATATTACTTTTATTAGCTGAAAACGTTTTACAAACATTGGTTTGCGAATCTAATAAAGATTGAATTTCATTTTAAAGGAGGGATGATGATGTTAGAGTGCAACTTAGAAATCAAGTATTTTGCAATAGATTTGATGGATATTTAACTCTGAAATCTTAGGAATTGATTAGGTCTTAAAGTGCATTTTTAAACGTGTCTAAATTGTTTCTTCACGTTGATAAGGTTGGTATTTTAATTGAAACAATTTCTTAATTTTATCGGTTTAAAATTAAAAATCCAATCATCTTGTCATGATAAATTAACTTTTACAACACTTCATTTAGATGCATATCGTTCGTATGCATATAAAATACTTACGCAATGTTCAATCCGGTATCATCTTGAGATTCTAATCATCTATTTTGATCATTAGACTAGAAATCTTCAAAGAAATAAGATAGCATTGGAACCAAAATAGTCTAATGTCTTTAAAGATATTTTTGCAATTACACAAAAAAATATTTTTACGCAATATTGCATTCATTAAATATTTGGCCGTAAGCTCTAATTCAGAATAACTATAAGATCACTGAAAGTAAAAATTCCATTTGGATTATTATCACCACATCTTGTAACCGAAATTCTAATCTTTCGGTACGGTCTTTACTTTCAAAACTTTGTTTGCCGCATTTATCAGATCAGAATCTTCATTATCTTTATGCGTGTTGAGTACGAAACTTTGTCTATAAGTCTCATACACCCAATTTGGGGCAAACTAAGCCTGTTGATAAGAGCCGGCCAATAATCAGGTCTCACTCTTTTTATTGGGGGCGCAGTTTATCGTGGCATGATCCGCCATCACCACAGTTGATTTTATCGTTGCTATTTAGTGTTCCTCCCTTAACCGCTATTTATCGCTGTTCTTCGTCGGCCTTGCCAATTAAGTTGTCTTTAGGGAAATATTTATCTTCTAGTAATGCTTCGTCTTGGTCGGTTATGTTGGCTATTGTAGTTAATCCGCAATCAGCGGGTGATCGTGTATCTGTGTTTGACAAGGTTACGCTTAGTGCGTGTTTAGCCATTGTTCTGCCTATTGTGCCGGACATTACCATTGTCGATAGTATCTGTATGTACTTATGTATGGCTTAATGTAAATGTTCAGATAGATTGTTGTAATGTTTACTTTGTAGCGTTTATGCACTTTTGGGTGAACTGTCTGAAATTGCAGAACTCTCACGTTCACTGCGTACTTATCTACGTATTTTTGAATGTGTTTATTTCAAAGAATACATTATATCTATGTTGTTCCCCTAAGACAGTTGACATTTTCAAAAGAGTTCCAAGCTATAGTACGAGTATTTCTTGCACTAAAAGTATAGTGTGCGTTTTGTAAAGAATGTAAATAACTCCAGCCGTAGTCTATCTCGCTCACGGTAATTACGGTGATAAAGCGGTTGGCCGGTCGACTACCGCAACCGTTCTCTTACACTTGGTGGATATCCAGTACAAACTCACTTCATAATGGATGTGCTCTTTGAGACTTTAGCCACACTTTCAGTGTATACCTCTAATTCTGGGTTGCACCTTTTTACTTTAATTGTAACAAACTGTCAAAAATCTGTCAAATTCTACTACACTAAGCACCGGTTATCGTAATAGTTACGGTTAGAGTTTGGTGCAACTCAGCCTAAGCATTGTTTACGTCCAAGTCTAACTGATATTCTAGGATACCTTTTAGTATTCCTGCCTAAAAATGGGGACTATTCCCATCACTGTAAAGCCAGGATCAGCCACCCAATGGAACCAAACTCAGTCGTTTATTAGTCCGAAGGGATAGTCTCCGTTCTGCATTTAGATGGACTATGAAAAATTAACATTATAGAGGATATTTAATCATCATGAAGTTACTTAAGCTGAGCTTACTGCGTCCAACCTTATCTCATACATTTTACATTTTTGTTACAAAATAGCGTTTATTACAACTACATAAGATGCAAAGTGTAATTCTTTGATATGAAGTAGTCCTACTGTAGTTACCCCAATTATGTTTCTGTTATCTGCAATGAGTTCCTCTGAGATTGCCATTGTTTAAACGTTTCTTTGACTTTATACTTTATGGCTTTTCTTGGCCCGTTACTATCGATTGGTATCTCAATAGTTATTTTATTTTATCCAGTACTTCCAGATGGATCTTGTCTTTTAATTCTATTTTCTCAACCTGTAATATTGATGTCAAATTCCAAAACTATGCTTTTATAGCTATTAGTTTTTTTATCAAAATAATATGGAACATCTTTGAAGACTACGTTATTTTATTACTTACCTCTTGAAGATCATACACCATGGCAAGAAGTTTTCCTCTTGCCATGGTGTTATAATCTTCATTCTTCTACATTCTTGCAGTAATTTGGACATAGGCAGACGTTGATAGCCAATAAAACACCAGTAGCGTTATAGCATAAGGTAATCCATTACAACAGCGATTGTTAGTAAAGTATCAGTGACGAGTAAATTGACTGCTACCTTACATCGAAGGTTGCGCAACCACAAATTACCCGGAAAGGTCTGCTCTGCTAGTTAGTCCAAAAATATCAGCTTATACATAAGTTGAGAATTGATTAAGAGAGAATACCCAAGAAAATAAGCCCATATTTGGTCAGGGCTTTGGGCATGTTTTGGAAAAAATAGAATCCTTGTTCTTTCATTTCAGTCAATTTTCTCACAAAGTATTGGATGCATATCTAGTTTATTATTTGTGTTTATGTCGTACTTTACTTCGATTTTATTTCAATTTATTTATTTGTTTTTATAGACAGCACAGAAGTAACAGCGCAGCACAAAGCGAAATAATCTCTAGATAATTGAGACAGATAAAATACCGTTTGAAAAGATTCTTATAACGTCTAATTAAAAAATCAAAACGAAAATTACTTACGCGGTCTTTATACCTTATAACTTTATAACTTATTATCTGATCAGAATCTTCAGAACCTGCCTGTTTTACCTTAACTGTATTTGAGTCGTTTCTAATAGAAAAAGTGGTCAGAGCTCAACGTAGAGGGTCCCTTGGAGGCAGTAATTTGTTCTAATTACGATTGCCTGACTCGACTTTCACTCTTCGACTATTTGAGTTGGAAACGCTCGTGGTTTCGAAATGGGGTCAGCAGTTTTTGTTGGTTCATCTGCGGGTAAAACGAGTCGACTTGGTGGTTTTACCAGACGGTTAGGCTAGACAACAGCCCATCAGACTATACTTTTTTGATGCAAAATAACTCCTATGACAAGTAAATAAGAGACCACAGTGTTGAGCTTGTTACACTGTCTTTGTACGTTTGCAAAATTTGATTCTGTTGAGTCACAACTACGAGCCCTTATTAACGGAGTCATGGATGTAGTGGGTATTTACTTGTCTTTGATATGCTAGGTTATTACTAATTATTATAAAACTATTTAAGACAAAATCATTAATTAATAGTCACATTTATTATCTCTAGTAACCTTGCTTGTGTTACGAGTAGATTCACCACAATAGTACATGTTTTTCTTTCTTTATTTGGAACTAGCATTCCGCCGGCGGATTCGCCCGCGTGGAATTTTGTCTGTCACAGAAAAACTCGCGCGTCCCTGTTTTAAAAACCGGGATAAAAACTATCATTATGTCCTTTCCCGGGACTCAAACTATCTCTATGCCAAATTTCATCAAAATCGGTTCAGTGGTTTAGGCGTGAAACAGAGACAGACAGACAGAGTTACTTTCGCATTTATAATATTAGTATAGATACGTACAGCTGCTGAAAAGGCGTCTGCTTAGTTCTATGGGATCATACTGTTTCGGCACGAGGTCCCCAATTAATTGAATCCTAGGTTCCCGTGCACGAAAATCCTCGTTAAAAAAACTAGAGATTAATAGTGAGTTTTTTTAAGAATCACAACCTACTCACAAGTCGCACAGTAATGCAATAAACACACATAATGTGCCCTAGATCTCGTTCGCTAACGATGCTCAATCAGGTTAGACGTGTCGGGATTTTTTGTCGACTCTATAATTTATTATATTAAATTTTTTATCATTACGTGACTGACTACGGTTCGACAGATATTATATGTTTTGCTGGAGTTTAATTGCTGTATTATTCAATGCAGTCGTAAATCAAGAGCTGGATGTAATTCATTGTTCCCTTTTTCTATTTTACTTGCCTACTTTCCTCTCTTAGATTTTCCTAGACCAATAGTGTTTACATTTTACTCTATTCGTCGGTATCGATAAAATTTTTCAATATCAAAGAAAGTAAATAAAATTACATTCGTAGAGAGACTTTTTAATTAATTTGTCGGACTTAGAATACAAACTTTTAAAAATCAAGGAATCATTTACATTCAAAATCAACGATTTTTTTTACTGTAATATGCAAACACATAGTATAATTTATATTTGTTGTTAAAAAACTGGTAATGCGATGCACTCATATTCTGCAATCACTAACGATATCTCCCACGTAATTT